TGAGACATGTAAATATAGTCCTGTTATTCATTTGCTTTGTTATGGCTGAATTATTAGGCTTTGATCAAGAGATTTATCATGAAGAACATTTCAGACAAATTTCTTGATTTTATTTTACTGTTCAGTTCCATAGGCTTGAACTTGACTTTGGCTTTGGGAAGAGAAATTTCCATTTGCAGTGCTTTCCCATTTCATAACAGTTGTAATAATTGTGATCATTAGTGCCAGTGGTGGGGATATGTGTGGTAAAGAACTTTCATGGAGCTATTAATTTTTTCCCCATAGCACTCAGGAGCAACTGCTACCAGGCTTAGTGGATCTCAATGTACTGGCTCATTCAAGCCACATTTTTTTTAACCAAAAGGAAAGGGGTAAAATCAGAAAATCAGCCAGAAGCAGTCTGGTCAGTCTGTAACTTCAAAGCACCTAACAAATGATAAAAGGTCTCAGCAAAAATGACCTAAGCAAAAAATAAAATAAAATAAAAAATTTACTGATGTTACCTGAAGAGAGAAAAGTACTTAATATTCCCAATTATTTTTCTGCCAGACTTTTTTTCTCATTTTCACTGTAGCCCTATAGCAGAAAATGTTTTTATGGGTGATATATTAAACATAAAAAGAAGCAGATTATGTTTATGTCAAATTACATAAACAAATTTAATTGATGACAGAATAAAAAGAAAATTTGGGGAAATTTAACAGTGAAACCATAGTCTTCAAAAGCAAAAATTTCACAGCTTGTTTATGTTATGAAAGTGTAACAGACAGTAGAGGGTCTGTCTAGTCTGTCCGACTGCAGTTTGGGTAGAGCAGATCCTGACTCACACTTCCAGGAATTGGCACAGATCTGAACCCTATCACAGTGCTCTGTCCTCCCCAGGGAATGGATCCAGAGTGGAATATGTGATCTCCTCCACTCCCTAGTACCCATGGCCTAAAGTGTCAGTAATCATCATCTGTATTGCTTCAATTTATAATGCAATCCTGCTTACTTGACAGATACTCATTTATTCACTGGACCAAATAAATTCATAGCAAGGAGACTTAAAATTCAATTTATTTTTGAGAATATATCTAGAATTGATATTCTTATAACAAATCAGTATTTTATAAAATTTTATATATGTAGTAACTTCTAATCTGACAGCCAGTAGTCAAACAATGAACTCACGCATGCTTAGAGAATCTTCTATCTATGATAACAAAAGGAAGAGCAGGAGAATATTATTGAACAGAGGTAATGCCAGGTAAAAGTTGGGTCTGTATGGAGTCAACTAGTTAGAACAGTATGTGTCTAGTGGACCTGTGCATCTCAGAAATAGAAATGGCCAAAATGGATAGTGAAGAAATGCAGACTGCAGACAGACATAACATACTTTTATAGGAAAAGAAGATACAAATTCACTGAAATATGGTGAGAAAGCTAGAGTTAGAGAACAGGAGAGCCACTAAGTGAAGACCTTGGAACAGGACTCTTGTCTTACTTATGAGGTCTCTAAAGTGACTCAGTTAAAAGAAACAACAAGGAGTCTGAAGAATCATAGACATATATGTTAACAACACTATCTTAGTTACTTTCTCCTTGATGAGACAAAATACCTGACACCCAAAATCACAGGTGGAAACGTTTATCTGGCTTACAGCTGATAGAAGTTTCAGTCTATAGTTGACTGGCTCCAAAGAAAGAAGGCATGGCAGAGGGGCATTGCAATAAACAGTCCATGGCAAAGCAGGGCAGGCAGAAGACAGCAATCAGCAAGCAAGAAACAAGAGAAGAGAAACACGTGGCAATAGCAGCCTCTTTCCCTCCCTTTGCTGTCTATCTAGGTACTCTTAGGATGGGTAGCTCTCACACCCTAAACTGTGCCAAACAGTGGACTAATTTAGTAATCACACACCCTTAATCCCAGATCACACACTCTAGGCCCAGTGACCTCTGAAAAAGCCCCACTATGATCTCATGACTCTTCGGGGAGACATCTAGATATAAGCCATAACAAAACTGAAGTAGAGAAGTAAAAAGTATTAAGATGTGTCCTGTACATGTACCAACTCCCCATGATCAATCCAATCATTATGTACAACAAACATGCACTAAGAAAAAAAAAACTAAGGCTGTAAATAAAATGAGAAGACAGAAAGGAAGAAAGAGCAGACATTTGATCATAATGAATTGGAGGCCTGAAAAGAATGTGAGAAAGACGTAAGAGCTATGGAAAAGAAACGCCACTTAATATGGAGGAATAGGAAAGTTTTAAAAATTATTTTCAACATTTTTTGAGTAAATCGAAAGATAAGTATTAAACTGGAAAAGGAGCTAGGAGAATATGTCTGACAACAATGTTTCTAGGTAAGAATAGGAGATCTAAACCAACATACACATATATTTTTGAGTCTACAATGTAGAGTATCATATCATCAGCAAATAATGACAGTTTAACTTCTTCCTTTCCTACCTTCATTGCTTTAATTTCTTTCTCTTGTCTAATTGCTATGGCTAATGTTTCCAGAACTATATCGAAGAGGAGTGGTGATAGTGGGCATCCTTGTCTTGTTCCTGATTTTAATGTGAAAGTTTTCAATTTTTGGCCATTTAATATGATGTTGGCTGTTGGTTTTTTCATAGATAGCCTTTATTAAGTTGATACTCCTAAGTGAAATAAATAAGTCACACTTATGTAAATACCGAATAATTTCTCTGGTGTGAATAAACTATAATTGTACACAAGGTTCTAATGATATAACGGACAATGTGAAATAGGAAGAAAGGGGCTAAAGATGTAGGGAAAGTGGGAAGGGTAGCGGAAAGGTAATAAGGAAAAAGAAAAAAATATGAGAAAATTAAAAAGTGGAAATAAAGTGTTTGTAAATGGGGAGGCAGGAGGGGTGAAGGGAGGGCAGAGACAAGGGGAAAAAATGAGAACCAAGACCTGTCATGTAGAGGTACAAGATCCCAATAATGAATGTAACTGTACTGTATATCTAAAATGTACCAATAAACTCAATGGAGGGGGGAAGAGGATGCTTTCGATGCCCTGTCAGCAACTATGGCTAGGGAGATAGGAGAGGTAGAACATAAAGCAGGATAGAAAAAGAACTGGACCATAAACACAGCGAGGTCCTCAGTCTGCAAAGACAGGAGAGTGCAATTCTTCACACAGCACGGGCACTTCATACGGCTGCAGGAGGTCAGCGTGCACAGTGGGGAGCAGGCCTGGCTCACTCACGCTGGATAACACGCAAACAGCAGCCCGACCCTATATAAACATACCTACACCCAAATTGCATTCCATCTGTCCACTACTAACACAAAGCATCTGATAATAAAAGTTAAATGGAAAGAAAAACAAATATAAAAATATCACTTTTTAAATCCTCATATATTTCTGGACATTGCCACAGGGAAAAGGGACTCATAAAACACATCATGTTGTTTGCAAAGCAGCCTGGCAATGAGTTTAATATGAATTATGGCGAGAGCAGATCCAATGCATGATTTCCCAGAATAATTTATCTCAGGCAGCCTCTAGTGTTCGAAAACAGGAAACCTAGAAAACAGCACGTCTAGTCATAGTTTTGAGAGGCCAGGTGCAGTAAACAAATGTGTAAAGCACCAAAGAAAAAGAAAAGGGAGAACCTAGCAAACAAGTAACTTCTTCATAAAGTACAATAAAAAAAAACTATCAGAGCTTGTGTTTTATTGATGTGTTTTTTTAGCAAATAACAGCCCTATAAACAATCAGAAAATGACTGCTTTTATCAAGCCAAAACAAGAAAGTACTTTATAGGATATAGCTACACAATGAAACCATGGCAATCCCAGAACCTCAAACAATGAAAGCAAAAACTAACAACAGGGACAAAAAGTGAGTTGGACTGAATGAGAGCAAGTAAATAAAATAGACACACTGAAGGAGAGTCACTAGCCCAAACAATGGGCTCTGGAGAAATGAAGAACTTGAGGAAGTCTAGCATCTTTCTTTGTTTTGGTGCTGAAGACTGAACCAAGGTCCTTCACACAGAGCTATATCCTCAGCCCTTTCTAGTTTTTATTTTGAAATCATCTCCCTAAATTGCCTGGGCTAGGCTCAAACTTGCAATCCTCCTGCCTCAGCTTTCCAGAGTTCTGGGATTACAGGCATGTGCTATCACGCCCAGCTTCTAGAAGCTTTAAGCCAATTAATTTTCCTTTAAGCAGATAGCAAATATCAAAGTCAGAAAGAAGAAGGGAGCAATGTAATCTGAGTTTATTAATAATGAATCTATTATTAACAAAAATACAATAACCCGAATACAGCTATGATCATAGCACTCTCATTATAAGCATCTATGGAAGTTGTCCTTTGATGCTATTTTTACATACATTCATATTTTTCTGCCTTGATAGGCACAGTCTGCTTGGTCCTATTACTAACGTCTAAACCCTAAACAAGAGACAAACATGGGCAGAAGCAGGCAGACATTTCTCAATGCCTGAGTTAAGTAGTGTCACCCAGCATGACCTGACTTGATCTGACTCCTGAGCTTTGGCTTCTTCTTAGGTCTTGGCTTATATCACAACTAGCAGGTTTCTTGTCCCAATGAGTCAGTGACTTCTGAGTTCTATTAAGATTTCGTGGCTGGCAGACACCTGGTATATTTGGGGCCCTTACTTTAGCATCACTGTGGTGAGATTTGTGTTTGCTTTTGCTGCTGTCCAAGTGATTCAAGATACTAAACAAAACTGTGTTTCTCTGTATCTGAGAGGGGTGGGGGGAGTGCTGCATGGCACTAGGAGGGAACCTGTAACTGGGAGACACGACTAGGACAGGTGCGAAAAAGCCAACCCAATGAAAATGTCTGCTTCTCTTCCAAAACAGTTGGGAAACTCATGCAGAGCCCTAAAATTTCTTGGGGCCCAGTTTGATATCCATTGTCTACGTTGTCTTAAAAACATATGCCCAAATAATTCTCCAAATATAAATTACTGATCTATAGATAGGGACAAAAGTATCCTACCTGATAAAACCACTTCAATAAGGTCGCCTTCCTGGATGTCACTGGCCGTTTTTACCAGCTGAAGGATGTTTTCAGAGGTAGGGTCATGGCGAAAAAGCAGGATCTTATCATACATTCCATAGAAACCACATTCAGGGAACTGCAAACAGAAATACCACAATTGTTTAAACATCAAAATCCTCCTAAATATTTTGTTTTAATAAATGTCAGGACATAAATGTAAGCTAATTTAAAAAGGTGACAGTATCTAAAATAGTCAAATTTTAAAAGTTGATGACAGAGTCTATATTGATAAGACTCCAATTTAGGAGGGAAGATATCTCATAAGGTCAATTATGGCTAAGTTGTTTTCTAATCAAAGAGAGATAAAACAGTAGATTATAATAAAATGCAAAGAATTCCCTACAATAAGATGGTTAAGTAATATGATAGGTGGGAAGACGTATGCATCACAGTCTAGCAAACCAATAGCGTAACAGTAGGAGTCGGTTTATTACCATTCTATTACATAACCTGGGGCAATTTGTTGAAAAAGACCTTGATCTGTTTTTAGCATATAAAAAACTAAAAGATGACACAATAAATCTCAATGCATTGCCTCTGCGGGCAGAGGCAGCAAATAGATCCTCTGACTCAGGAAAGCATCAGAAAAGACAACCCAGCTCTCCTTCTGCTGCTGCCCTAGGGGACCCTTGACTTACGAACTCAATTGTCATATGAGGGCTGGTTGTAACTCAAGTTGGTCACTCTCACACAGGAAAGGATGGTGTAGTGCTCCTTCCAGAACTCTTTAAGGGTTAAATTTATCTGAGATCATCTGGAAACACAAGCAACCCTCGTGTGGGTCGTAACTAAAGATCTTGTATGTAAGCTAAAACTAAAATTCCACTCCTAACCGAAGTTGTTTGTGCATCATGCCATTCGTAACTTGAGGTACACTGTATTTCTCTTCATTTAGTTTTCCTGCAGTCTGTTAATCTATGTTCTCAGGAGCAGTTTTTGAGGTCAATCTGCCAACCTAGAGAGAGGATTTTCATTCACTCACACCACTGAGGCAAATTGTTATGTGAAAATGGCACTCCTTGTATGTAACTATTTTTTACATAACTATTGAGAAATGTCACCTTGTATACACTGACATTGCAATGTGGTGGGTAAGGTCTTGAGGTAGGAAAAGAGAAATCTGTTTCTCTCAATCCTGGAACTGGTGATGGCTCTGATGCTACCAATCTGTGTGGACTTTCTCTTACTGTCAGGGAAAAATGTCCAGAACTTGATACCTTCTGAAGACAGACATAACATATTGTAAATTGCTCTTTCTTTTTCTTATTCATAAAACTAGGACCTACATTCATGTTAGCCATTTGTATGAATTAAAAATAAATGTATTCAGAACACTCTCTTGCTCTTAAGAGCCTGTGCAGATGACTAGGCTTAAAATTACTTGAGTGTGTCACTTAGGAAAGTTGACTTTCCTAAAATAAACACCACAGCTGAAATGATGTCACTGCTTCCACTGTGCTAATTAAAAGAAAAAAATTAGCTCACTTTTTGGAAATGTTTCCAATATTATTAGAGCACAAGAAAACAAAGGACAACTAAAATTCCATTTCCTCAATCTTAAAAATAATGGACAGTTCATTAATTATTTTAAAATTCAACTTCTTTGGAGAATGATTTCCATGAAATAATATGGATACAAGTGCATACGCCTAGGAATTTTGATGAACACAGTATCCAAGAAATCATTGAAATACTTTCATCAACCCTATAAGTTTTAGTGTGGTTAATGCCACTCAGTATCTTAACCTCAGATACAGATCTACTTTCTGTCACCAAAGATTAGTTTGTGTGCTACAGAATTTCATATAAATAAATTCATGTGGTATATTTTATGTGATTTTTTTGGCTGGCTCATTACAATGTTTCTGACATTAATTCATACATACTGCATTTAACATTCATCCCTTTCTTACTATTTCATTAAATGGATCTAGCATAATCGCCCATTCACCCATAAATGGACATCTGTTCTTCCCCATTTTGGCTACTGCAAGTAAAATTGTTATAAAAATTTACATACAAGTATTTCAGTGGTCATATCTTTTCATCCTTGTGGATAAACACCTAGGAAAAGCACTGTTTGATCATATAAGTGTATGTTTGATTATGTTCGTTCTTGCCAATATCACATTATATTTATATAGTAGCTTTATACTGTGCAGGGAATTCAGGTAGTAAAAGCTCTTCAAAAATTTTACTTTTCATGGTTATTTTTGAATATTATAAGTCCTTTGAATTTCATATATATATTTAAGAAACACTTGATTTAAAAAAATGTGCTTTCAATGATACTGCATTGAACCATAGACAGATTAGAGAAATATAATTTTTTTCATTGAGTTTATTGGTACATTTTAGGTATACAATACAGTTACATTCACCATTGGGATCTTGTACTTTTACATGACAGATCTTGGGCAGGGGTATGGGGAAAAATGAGAAATATACTTTAATATAGAGACTTCTACTTTCTTATGAACAAATTGTATCTCCCTATTTATTAGGTCCCTTTTAATTTAACTTTATGTTTTATAGTTTTCAGTGTATTGGTCTTAGACATGCTTGCTAGATTCATCTCTAAGTAGTTAGTAATTTTATGCTATTGGAAATGATTATGGAATAACTAGCAGGTAATAAAATTAATCTTTTTAGTGTATCATTCAACATGTTTTGAAGAATGTGTACAATGACCATAGTTGCAGCCTTTGTTCTCTCCCTCTCCCTCTCCCATTCTCTCTGATTCTCTCTCTCTGACTCTATCTTCCCCCCACCACTGTATACAAAATACAGCAACAATATGGATAGTCCCATGATTCCCAAAACTTTCTCCATATCCAGAGAAAGGTCAACTCCAACCCTAGCACCCATTTCCCCAGCTCTCAGCAGCCTTTCCACTTTGGTGCTTTTTGCACATTCTGCAAGATGATATAGGCTTAGAATTATTCATTCCTTAAATGTTTGATAAAATTCTCCAGTGAAGCCCCTGGATTTCTCCTTTCTGAAAGGCTTTGAACTTCATGCTCAATACCTGTAATAGATATAGTTCTAGAAAGATTTCAGTTACCCTTTAGTGAGCTTTGCCAGTTCGTTTCTTTAGAGACATAATTCATTCAAGTTGTCATTTATGTGTATTTCATTATTCAGATTTGTCCCTCATTACTCTTTGAGTGTGGAGCTTTACTGAAGTCTCTTTATTAATTTCTTATATCCACAATTTTTGGATATTTCAGTATAATTTGTCCCCCCAACCGTCCACATGTTGGGACCTTTAAGAGATGGAGAGTTAGGTCATCAGGTGAGCTCCTTTTGGAAGGTGCTAAGGGGAATACTATGACAGTAAGTTTTTATAAGAGGAAGCTCAATCATTTAATTGTCTGGTTTCATGTTTTGAGATTTGACCTCTTGTTCTCACACATGCTCCTGACACCTCCACAGATGGTGGAGCCAGTGCTATGCCGTTTGGACTGTTAGACTCCAAAACTATGACTTAAATAAACTTCTTTGCCTTATCAAGTTTTCCAGTCTCGAGATATTTCATTAAGGCTACCAAAAATGGACTAATACAGTATCTTCTCTCTTTATTGCGTCATCGGTCAGGTGACAAATTTGTTCATTTTATTGATTTGATTTCCCAGTGAATAGATACAGATTTCTTCAATTTTCTCTATTTCTCTATTTCACTAGTTTCTTTTTCTATCTTTGTTATTTCCACCCTTTAATTTGACTTTGGTTTAATTTGTTCTTCTCTTACTAGGTTTTTATAACAAAAGTTTATATTATTGAGTTGAGACATTCACCATTTCTTCACCAATATAAGCATTTGATTTTCTCTAATATTCATTTAGAAGCATTTCACAAGTTTTGGTAAAGCTGTGTTTTCCTTTTATTCAACTCAAAATATTTTCTCTCACACCTTACACAACATAAAATAAATAAAATTTACATGCAAGACCCCAAACTGTTAAATTATTAGAAAGAGACATAAGGGGAAATTTCTGCTACATTGGTCTGGACAATGATTCCTTTGGATATGATCCCCAATACAAAGAAAGCAAAAACAAAAAATTGCTAAGTATGACTACAGCAAACTAAAAGTATTTTGATCAGCAAAGGAAACAATAAAAAAACAACCTGCAGAACAGGAGAAAATATTTGCAATCATTCATCTGTTGAGATATTAATAATGAAGAATTCAAACAATTCAGTAAGAAGAAAACCACCTGGTTTCAAAATGTGCTTAGTTTGCGAATAGACATTTCTCAAAAGATATACAAGCAGATATATGAAAAAAATCATCACTAATCATCAGAGAGAGGAAGATTAAGATTAACACCTCAGATCCATTAGAATTGCATTTTTCAAAGGATAGTGTTGGTGAGAGAGCAAAGAAAAGGGAAACTGGGCTCATTAATGGAAATGTAAGGTGGTACAGTGAGTATGGAAAATTGTACAAAGGTTCTTCAAGCTATAAAAAGCAGAATGACTACATAATCCAGTAATTGTCCACCTTCGGTGGATAGTGAGAGAAAGCAAAGTCTGTGCTCTCAGGTCATTTCAGTATTATGTGCAATAGCCAAGATATGGAATTAAAATAAGTGGTTATTAGCAAATGAACAGATAAAGAAAATGTGATATATCTGTATCTATCTATCCATATGAATATTATTCTGTTTTAAAATAAAAGGAATCTGAAACAGTTGAACTTAGAAGCAGAGAGTAAAATGGTGGTAACCAGAGTTGGTACGGGGGAGGAGTTTGACATTTTGTTTATTAAAGGGTGCAAAATTTCAGTTAGATAGGGTAAATATTTTCAAGAGCTCTATTGGTATAACATAGTGATTGACATTTTAAAAGTTAATAAATTTTAAAATACTCATATTGTCTAATTTTCTTTATTAACTTTTGCATTATTTAGAATAATGCAGTATACTTTATAAATATTCTTTATGTTTTTATTCCTACTTTATTTTGTTAATGTTTAAGACACCATTTCATAATATTTAAAACTTGTAAATTTGCTAAAGTATTTGATAGAGAATGGTCAATTTTAGAAAGTAAATTATTATTTTCTAAAGG